ATCTGATAAGAAATGTCACCATATCAAAAACAATATACTCAGATCACAACATAATTGAGGTTCAGACATGTATGCGCGGAGCCCCAGACCGACATAATGAAATTAGTCACGAGGGAGCATTCACCAAATTCAACTTCAATAACAAAAACATAAAGTGGGACCAAGTAAACCAAGTTCTAACCGATATAAGCTGGGAAGATATACTAAGCAACACAGACCCCAACTTATGCCTAGAACAGATTAACTTGGTGGCACTCGATGTATGCACAAGGCTTATTCCTCTAAGAAAAAGGAGGAGTAGATGTAAAATAGAAAGAGACAGGCGCTCCCTTTACAGGCTACGGAAAAGAATAGCAGAGCGGCTAAAAGAGGGCAATATATCTGAAATGCGTAGGGAGACACTGGTCAGAGAAATAGCAAACATCGAACTTAAGCTAAAGGAATCTTATAGGAGTCAGGAATCGCGGGAAGAACTAAAAGCCATAAATGAAATCGAAAGAAACCCAAAGTATTTCTTCTCCTATGCCAAATCAAAGTCGAGAACAACGTCCAGTATTGGGCCCTTACTTAAACAAGATGGGTCCTACACAGATGACAGCAAGGAAATGAGTGAGCTACTCAAGTCCCAATATGACTCAGTTTTTAGCAAGCCACTAACTAGACTGAGAGTCGAAGATCAAAATGAATTTTTTATGAGATAGCCACAGAATTTGGTTAACACAAGCCTATCTGATGTTATCCTGACGCCAAATGACTTCGAACAGGCGATAAATGACATGCCCATGCACTCTGCCCCAGGGCCAGACTCATGGAACTGTGTTTATCAAGAACTGCAAGAAGCCCCTATCACGAGCCTTTTCCATCCTATGGAGAGGGAGCATGGACACAGGGGTCGTCCCACAGTTACTAAAAACAACAGACATAGCCCCACTCCACAAAGGGGGCAGTAAAGCAACAGCAAAGAACTACAGACCGATAGCACTAACATCCCATATCATAAAAATCTTTGAAAGGGTCCTAAGAAGCAAGATCACCACCCATCTAGAAACCCATCAGTTACACAACCCAGGGCAACATGGGTTTAGAACAGGTCGCTCCTGTCTGTCTCAACTATTGAATCACTACGACAAGGTCCTTGATGCACTAGAAGACAAGAGGAATGCAGATGTAATATATACAGACTTTGCAAAAGCCTTCGACAAGTGTGACCATGGCATAATAGCGCACAAAATGCGTGCTAAAGGAATAACAGGAAAAGTCGGTAGATAGATCTATAATTTCCTCACTAACAGAACGCAGAGAGTAGTAGTCAACAGAGTAAAGTCCTAGGCAGCCACGGTGAAAAGCTCTGTTCCACAAGGCACAGTACTCGCTCCCATCTTGTTCCTCATCCTCATATCTGACATAGACAAGGATGTCAGCCACAGCACCGTGTCTTCCTTTGCAGATGACACCCGAATCTGCATGACAGTGTCTTCCATTGCAGACACTGCAAGGCTCCAGGCGGACATCAACCAAATCTTTCAGTGGGCTGCAGAAAACAATATGAAGTTCAACGATGAGAAATTTCAGTTACTCAGGTATGGTAAACACGAGGAAATTAAATCTTCATCAGAGTTCAAAACAAATTCTGGCCACAAAATAGAGCGTAACACCAACGTCAAAGACCTGGGAGTGATCATGTTGGAGGATCTCACCTTCAAGGACCATAATATTGTATCAATCGCATCTGCTAGAAAAATGACAGGATGGATAATGAGAACCTTCAAAACTAGGGATGCCAAGCCCATGATGACACTCTTCAGGTCACTTGTTCTATCTAGGCTGGAATATTGCTGCACACTAACAGCACCTTTCAAGGCAGGTGAAATTACTGACCTAGAAAATGTACAGAGAATCTTCACGGCGCGCATAACGGAGATAAAACACCTCAATTACTGGGAGCACTTGAGGTTCCTGAACCTGTATTCCCTGGGACGCAGGCGGGAGAGATACATGATTATATACACCTGAAAAATCCTAGAGGGACTAGTACCGAACTTGCACACGAAAATCACTCACTACGAAAGCAAAAGACTTGGCAGACGATGCAACATCCCCCCAATGAAAAGCAGGGGTGTCACTAGCACGTTAAGAGACCATACAATAAGTGTCAGGGGCCCGAGACTGTTCAACTGCCTCCCAGCATACATAAGGGGGATTACCAACAGACCCCTGTCAGTCTTCAAGCTGGCACTGGACAAGCACCTAAAGTCGGTTCCTGATCAGCCGGGCTGTGGCTCGTACGTTGGTTTGCGTGCAGCCAGCAGTAACAGCCTGGTTGATCAGGCTCTGATCCACCAGGAGGCCTGGTCACAGACCGGGCCGCGGGGGCGTTGACCCCCGGAACTCTCTCCAGGTAAACTCTCTGATTAATTTTATGTAGCCAATTCCTGATTTTTATTTCCTTGCTATAACTGGAGAATGAATTTGCTAATTTGTTTAAAACACTGGTATATCTTACATAGAGGAAGGATCAGATTGGTTTTATGCTGTGTAGATGCCAATTTTTATATTGCATTAAAATGGAAGGAATTAGGGTATTGGTTTCTATGTGATAACTCTTGAATGCCTCGTCAGAAAGCCTTCAAATCTTCGATGCTGATGTTTCTCAGAAAATGGTTGAAATTGTTTCCTGATTATGCAGGTAGCAATTTGCCTAGTTATGTTGTAACCCCTATGGTGCCTCCTAGCACTGTGGTAGCGCACTCGGTTCACATTCAAGAGTGCACATATCGGACCCTGGATGGGCCCATCCCGGGACACCTAAGTAAGTATATATTCCTGGGAGTTAATCGACTGTTAGTGATAGCATCCTGAGGGAGGTAACAACCCCAAAGGAAACAATCCACTTTGCATGATTTTCTTGGGAAATAAAGATAAAACATAATTGTGAAAAGAAAACTGAAAAATGGAACTTACTTTCTTATAGCAGCTTTAAATTTCACAAATTTAAATTAGCTATCCCATCACGACTTATTTATATTATATTCGTCATAAATATTTTAATTATTTATATCTTATCATTGAATTTATGAAATTTTACTGTTTATAAGAGTTTCACTTGATAATTGAAGTGTTTCGAGAAATGTATACACACGGTGTACTCTGCTTTCTGAATGTATTATTGCATAAATGATAAAAATTGTTAGTGCTAGACTGGATTGAGTTCCATTTCCTGGCCTTCAGGTGTTGATCTAGAGCATCGATACCATGCCTAACCCTTCTAGGGTAGGGTAGGTGCCTGAGTCCGAGCTTTTAGCTCATAAGACTGTCATTCCCATTTGCTCCTTTGGGGCGGGGATGGCAGACCAGAGAGGCCTAGCTTGTGGCTAGGCCTGGGGACAGTTGGTCCCAAAGATGAAGAGGTACTTGTGCCTCCTCCCATGGGAGACTTCGGTCTCAGACACTCCCTAAAGAGGGAGCCAAGGCCGGGCCACCACTTGGAAAAGGCCCGGGCCGGGAGAGTACCGGCTAATCTTTAATAATAATAAAAAATTGATCTAGAGCTACAAGACTTCTGAGAGTGTTAAAGTTCACTTGCTGCTTATTGTTAAATTTGGGTGCGCTTGAAAACTGTGCCGTACTACTGTGTCGTACACTGAGGTAATGGTGTGGGGACAGCCCTCGGTTTGTGGAATACTTGGGGATGTGGTTATCGGATTCGTTAGCGACCGAAACACATTTGATGTTCTTCCAGTGGACAAGCCAGCAAAAGGCCTCAGTCAGATGTCCAGAAGCTCCTCTGTGTGAGTCGTCATATGGTTAAGACTTATTCCAGGAGTAATTCTACTAATAAAGAAAAATCGTCGTTGTACATAAATGTTGTACAATACCGACAAGATGAAGAATTAGACAAATGTATAACATCTGGGTATTTTTATCTGTAGACGTTTCGCCACTGATAAAGCCACTAGTTGGCGTAGCGTATACGCCAACTAGTGGCGTAGTTGTTGCGCATGTGTCTCATTCTTCAAAAAATCGTCGTATATAGTATGGATGTCAAGCGCACAATATTCACTTAACAAATGACAGGTTATTAATGAAAATGTGACGTGAAGGTAAAGTATAGTACAGGTGGGATTGCAACTCTCAGCTTGGAGAGATTTTTGTGTCCCAGGACTTCTCCATCAGTTCACCTGTGTCAGTTTATACAACAGATACATGGAGGAGCCTCGCAGGCAATGATATATTTTTTTGAGAATCAGTGAATCGTGTGCCAGAGCTTCTGAAGATTAAAGTAACAGAGCCACTGGTGAATCGTGTGGCAGAGCCACTGTTACAAGTCAGTGTTGAATCATGTACAGAAACACCAGTGAATCATGCTGCAGGACCACAGGTGGGTCATGTTACGGAGCTAAAATCGAATCATATTACAGAATCGTGAATCATGCTACAGAAAGACTGGATAATTACGTTACAGAACTCTCAGTGAAGTATGTTATAATCAAAGAATGATGATTGACAACCTCTAGTGAATCATGCTACGGAACTATCCGTGAATCATATCTTAGAGGAACTGGTGAATCGTACAATAGCATTAACTGCTGAATACCGTAGCAAAGCCCTTCGTGAATCACCTTATAGAACCACTGGTTAATCATGTTATAAATAAAGAGGTGAATCACGTAACATAACCACTGGTAAATCATGTAACAGTACAAACAGTGACTCGTATTACAGAACAAATTATGAATCATGTTTCAGAAACTCTGGTGAGTCGTGTTACACAGCCATTGGTGAATCATGTAAGAGAACTACTGATGAATCATTTAACAGAGCTACTGGAGAATCATGTAATAGAACTACTGGAGAATCATGTAATAGAACTACTAGGGAATCATGTAACGATACAACTAAAAATTCCCTAACAAATCAATTAACAGAAAAAGCTAGAACTTAAATACTACAGATTGTCAGTTAAACCAAAGGTCAAATAATATGAAGTGAACCATACTTACATACAAGTATGTGCCAGTACTGAGAGCACCACAACACTGATCTGGAAAGACATTACATATATATATATATAATATATATATATATATATATATATAATATATAATATATAATTATATAAATATATATATATATATATATATATATATATATATATATATATATATATATACATACATATATATATATATATATATATATATATATATATATATATATATATATATACATATATATATATACATACATATATATATATACATACATATATATATATATATATATATATATATATATATATATATATATATATATATATATTAGATATATATATATATATTAGATATATAAATATATTATATATATAATATATATATATATATATATATATATATATATATATATATATATATATATATATATATATATATATATATATATCCATATTCTTCAATGTTTACATTTGGTTATGTGTTAAAATTATTAAGCTTCCCTCTTCAGAAACGAGGTTATGTCTACTAATATTTAGTACATATGTATTTCAGACTTCTCATATGTGTTGTTTTGTTAATACTTACGAAGAGGAAGGTTGAATTATGCTTCATGATGGTTTTAATGGTATTATGTTACTTGTAGGAGTTACCAAGCAGGAGGATGAGAGTACAAAGTCTAGTGATGGCTCCTGCAAATACAACTTTCTTGGGTTGGTGAGAGCAACTTGTAGTGCGTCTGCTACCTACAGCACTTGCAGGTGTTAACACTGTCGCTCAGGTTGTGTCCAAGATAAGGGTCACGTGTCGTTTATATAGCTGGCACTGTGAAGCGCAGCTGTATATTCCTTCTTGAGTAAGAGAGAGATTTATTAGGTCTTCCCCTAAATGGGACACCTCTAATGATTATTGGGTTTTTTTCCTCCAAAGTTTCCTTGTGAAAAACTTGGGAACGCAAATTCTGATCATGTTGAAACTTTCAATCTTAAGGTTGAAATTATTAAGGTAAGGTTCGGATTGTTTGGGCTTTGCAGATGTCAGTTTGCCAATTTTATACATCTAAATAAGGCAACTATGTCACTATGATAACGATTGTTCTATAGCTTTTTTTTTATTTAAAACTTCATGTACAAATATATATAGGTACATATATCAGTATGTAACATTGACACTGGTGATGAGCTATAAACATTCACTACACAATCTACTGAATAAGCACATACTTAAGGACATTAAAATAAACTTAACACAACCTACAGACTTCTTCTACGTACGTTACTCTGGAGTTTTGAGACTCTCTGACCGCGGGTTCAATGCCGGCCGGGGTATGGTTTCTTTGTACGTTGTTTCACAAGTACACAATGGTTCATAGATATAATGGAACCTACTCATTATTGCTTACACTCCCCCCCCCATCACCAGTGAATATATTCTACATTCCCTTGTTCACTTAAAATTCAAAAACGACTTGAACATCAATAACACAATATATAAACACATAACAATCCAGGCAACGTTCTATAGGTTTAACCTCTGAGCTCTGACAAGGGAGGTGTGAGTGTATGTACTCTGCTGTAGTGCTGGGAACATAGGAAATGCGTCTGTTTCGCCCTCAACAGACGGAGGATCAAATCTCCACCAGGTCTTGCGCTGAATGACCCACATGGGTTTAGCGCTTAACATGAATTAAACAATACCGAATGTTCTGACTTTTAAGCTTCAACGCTGGTGTATCGTAGTTAAAGGAAGGTTTGAATTGCTACTGTCTTCCTGCGTACTAATCTGCTAACTTTAGTGAAAAAATAGATATTTTTTCTGTGAGATTACATGGAATTGCCTCTTCTAAATAGATTTAAACTTTGAATGTTAGTACACTTTATCAGAAGAAAAAATAATTATAAATATCTCAAACAGTTACGGTGATAATATCAGAGAAAAGAATGAAGAGGCACAATACCGGGGCTGGAACAATACACAAATAACCCGCACATAACTGAATGAAACTGACCACGTTTTGTTCCGAGTTTGACCACTAAGTAGTCACACAGAAGCCAGAAGAAAAAGGAACCAGAATATATTCGAGTTTTATGACTATGATCGCGGGTTCTATCCCCACCCGTGGTATGACTTAGAGGGAGTATTGTAGTAGCGGCAGCAGCAGCAGCAGTAGTAGTGAGGAGACAGAAAGAGGCAGAAGTAGCAAGTGAGTGAGAGTCGGCATAATTAACACACTGAAAGATAGAGGGTGGGAAGGAGAGAGGCACTAGTTAGTAGAAGTAACAATAAGAGGCAGGCAGAAGTTACAAATATAAATTTAATTGAGTAGTAGTTAGTTACCATTTTGTCCTAGGCACATGTCGATTAGACACTTGGCCTGTTGTATACAGTAGCAGTAGAAGTGGTGAAGCAATGGTAAAGGTGGAAATAAGAAAATAGTAGTAAAGAAAGGGTAGAGCAGAATATTAGCAAAGAAACAGCAATAATAATGATAGTGAAGGTAGTCTATAAGAACAGAGGAGCACTGCAGAAGAGCTACTGGCCCACGGGGGTAAGACAAAATCCCTTATGGGACAAAGAAACCCTCATAAGGCAGAATCCACCAAAGGCAGAAGACAGGAAAGGCAATGAAAATATAGAAAAGTTGAAGATATAAGGAAAAGAGATAAAGAGAAGAGATGAACGTTGTCATAAGTTCCATTTTTTACATGTGTTGCGTCCATATATCAGAGAAAAGTTTTACTCTGCGAAGACTTCACTTGTCGAGAAGTGGATCTTTGACTTTTCAATGAGTCTACCTGGAGGGTATTCTGGGGATCATCACTCCCGCGGCCCGGTCCACGACCAGTCTTCCCGGTGGATCAGAGTCTGATCAACCAGGCTGTTACTGCTGGCCGCACGTAGTCCAACGTACGAACCACAGCCCGGCTGATGCGGCACCAACTTTAGGTTTCTGTCCAGCTCCCTCTTGAAGACAACCAGGGGTCTATTGGTAATGCCCTTTATGGCTGGTGGAAGGCTGTTGAACAGTCTTGAGCCCTGGATCCACATAGTTGATATCCCCTACATCTGTAATTATATTTCATATCTACATATGTTTATATATATGTCTTGAATAATAGGTAAAACTGGTCAATTAGCAAGAACTCATTTAAAATTAAGTTCTTTCTAAAATTTTCTCTTATACATTTAAAGATACGTGTATATTTTTTCATCTATGTTAATGTAAAAATTAATAATTTTGTACCAAAAGAACCTTAGAAAACTTACCTAATATTATTATAACAAGGGCAATTTAATTTAGCCTAAGCTAACTAAATATATTTTAGATAAGTTTACAATAATTTAATAATAAACGAACACAATGAAATATATTTTTTTAGTTAGGTTCTGAATGATTTTTGCGAAATTATTACATACACAAATTTTCGTTTGCCTTATTCGGCAAGAAGAGCGTTGCTGTTTAAGCCAGAATCACAAGTTTTTACCTGTTCGGCACGACATATGTATATTCCACTTGACCTACAATCCTTAAACACCAGTCGCTCAGCAGTATTGAGCGTGTTTTCTCTAATTCAAGGACATATGTGGTTATGGAGCCTCAGAGACTAATTTCAACCTCATCCTGTTATTGGTACCTGCCTTCACGAGCAGTCTATATATTAGTGAAATGGCGAAACAAGTGATTTTGAATCATTAACAGAACTGCGGCTTGGCCAGGACTCGATCCTGCGTTCCCATGCCCGGCCCTGTGAGAATGGGCTAGAAAGAGAGACAAGGATAGAATCAGCAGAGGACAACCAGAGCTAGGCAGAGCAACAAGAGCAGACACACACAGAACCACTCTCAGAGACCCACAGTCAAACACACTATCCCACTACAAACTACAATCCATACTCACAGCCCCCACCCCACACTATGCAGTAGAATCCCACAGCACCCTGCCAGGTCCCCCATTCTCCCAACCTCCACAAATCCCCCAGAACAGAGTGCTAGAGAGGAAACCGAAGGTATGGAACACCAGCACTAATGGAATAATGAATAAGTGGGAGGAATGGCATGAAACAATCAAAGAGGCATCACCGTACATCATAGCTCTCACAGAAACCAAGCACACAGGAATGATAACAGATGTCATCTTTCCAACTGGATATCAGATCCAGAGGAAAGAAAGAGGAAACAGAGGGGGTGGAGGAGTGGCACTGCTCATCAAAAGCCAGTGGGATTTTGAGAAGCTGGAGAGAGGAGGCAGAGAAGAAGCAAGAGACTACATAATAGGAACACTTCAGTCTGGAGTTCCCGGAGTCGTAATTGCATTGATGTATCACCCACCACAGAATAGCTGGAGGCCAAGACAAGAATATGATGAGAGTAACAGAGTAATGGTTGACACACTGGCTGAAGTGGCCAGAAGGGCCCTTATGGGCAGAGCAAAGCTACTGGTTGTGGGCGACTTCAGTCACACAAAGAAATCGACTGGGAAAACCTAGAACCACAGGGAGACCCAGAAACATGGAGGGAAAAGATGTTGGAGGTGGTACTGGCAAACCTCATGCATCAGCTTGTTAGGGACACTACCAGAGAGAGAGAGAGGAGAAGATGAACCAGCAAGACTTCACCTAGTATTCACCTTAAGTAGTGCAGATATAGAGGTTCTGAGCTTCGAATACATAGAGTTACTAGTGGAGAGGGACGCAGGAAGGGCAGAGCAGAGGAAGCCAAACTACAAGAGAGAGGGGACTATACAGGCTTGAGGAACTTCATGCACAAGGTTCAGTGGTACATCAGTTAATGAGTTGATGAAATGTGTGACAACAATTTGCAAGGCAGCAGAGGAGAGGTTTGTACGCAAGAACAACAGAAATAATGAAAGGCCTGAACGAGCATTCAGTTCACCCAGAGGTATACAGAGGCCAAAACTAAATGTGCTAGAGAATGGAAGGAGTATAGGAGGCAAAGGACCCAGGAGAATAAAAAGAGTAGTCGAAGAGCCAGAAATGAATACGCTCAGGTAAGGAAGGAGACCCAGTGACAATACAAAAATGACATAGCAGCAAAAAACACGTTCGACCCAAAGGCTGAGGAAAGAAGGAGGCGAGATCACAAGAAATGACCACGAAGTATGTGAGGAGCTCAACGTGAGATTTAATGAAGTATTCACAGTGGAGACAGAAAGGACTTCTGAAACACGGAGGGGTGGGGTACACCACCAAGTGCTAGACTCAATGCATACAACCAAGGAAGAGATGAGGAGGCTGCTAAGTGAACTAGGTGCCTCAAAGGCGATGAGGCTGGATAACATCTCTCCTTGGGTCCTGAGAGAGGGAACAGAGGCGCTCTGTGTACCACTAGCAACAATCTTTAACACATCTATTGAACCAGGGCAGCTCCTTGAGGTATGGAAGACAGCAAATGTAGTCCCAATTTTGAAAAAAAAAGGAGATATATACGCAGCACTGAACTACAGACCAGTAACACTGATATGCATAGTATGCAAAGTCATGGAGAACATTATCAGGAGAAGAGTGGTGGATCACCTAAAAGGTATGAGCTTATCAACGACAACCAGCACGGGTTCAAGGAAGAAAAATCCGGTGTCACAAACCTACTGTGTTCTATGACAAGGTGACATCCGTAAGACAAGAGAGAGAACCTAATAGCGATCAGTGAAGAGGCAGAGCCAGGAGCTATGACTCAACCCCTGCAACCACAAATAGGTGAGTATACACACACACACACACAACACACACACACACACACACACACACACACACACACACACACACACACACACACACAC